ATTTCAAATTCTCCACGCGTAGAACTTCCCTCGCGCTATATCGCCACGCGTGGAATTTTCCACGCGCGATATCGCCACGCATCGTATTACCACGCGTGAGATTTACTACGCTTCAAATTCTCCACGCGTAGTACTTCCCTCGCGCTATATCGCCACGCGTGGAATTCGCCACGCGTTATACCGCCATTCGTCGTATCACCACGCGTGGAATTCGCCACGCACTATATCACCACGCGTCCTATTACCACGCGTGAGATTTACTACGCTTCAAATTCTCCACGCGTAGTACTTCCCTCGCGCTATATCGCCACGCGTGGAATTCGCCACGTGTTATATCGCAACGCGTCGTATCACCACGCGTGAGATCCTACACGCGTAATACTTCCCACGAATTATATCGCCATGCGTAATACTTCCTTCGCACTATATCGCCACGCGTAATACTTCCCTCGTACTATATCGCCACATATGCGATTCACTACACATGAAATATCCTGTGCGTTAAATTCGCCCTATTTGATTCTCGCCACTACATCACCACACGTAATATTCGCTTCGTATATTCACCACGTATTATATCACCGCATAAAAAAGCCTTTTCTGTATCACAATTTCCAAGAACGCCATATTAACAGCAAAAGCCGTAAATGAAAACGCAGTTTTTCAAGAAAATTCCAGCGGAAAATCTATTGTACTCGTAGAAAAGCAGAGGAAAATCAGGTTGACGTTTCTGTAGGTGTAATTAAACGCATTTCAGCTCGTCACGGTCGTATCCAAAGGGTTAAGTTAATTCCTGGATCCAGTGCACGTCACGTCCGGTCGTCTGTCTCTCTGAAACGGTCCTGTATCCTCCGCTAAAGGATTACACGCTACAGATACGAGTTTTACGAAATTTAGTTGGTCGATCTTCGAAACGAAAATCTGAATAATTTTGTTAGTAATAAGCGAACGAATTTTTTTGAAGTCCACGGATCGGCGAGAAATCGAAGAAATTCATTTTGTCGCGACAATATCTTGCAGCTAGTGCAATCTACATGGAATTTCGCGAAATAGTTAGACGAACGAGCTGCCTGGCTCCCTATATCCTGCCGGATATTACGGGCTATTAAATTTTCAGAGGATTTAAGTGGCGAGAACGTTCGTAGTCCACGTTGAAAATTCAGCCGGCGAACGCTAGGAACTGCGGATCGATTCCCTTGCGACACTGGATTTCTCTTTCTCTTTTTATTTCTCCTTAAATCGCAATTTGGCGAACGTATTGTATCCACAGTTAACCAATGCTTTTTTAAAACCCATCCATCCAATCCCGCAGCAATTTCAACCCGCAATTTAAACAGTTCTCTTTCATTTTTCCACTTTGGGAACAGAGATGCATCTCTAATGTAGTCCACATAACATTTTCCATCGTAAAAATTTATTTAAAGAAAAATGACATTTTGGGATAAAAAGATTTATGGAAATTGCACGAGATGAAAATTAACCGAGTGTTCACCTACTGGAGGGTCGAAATTTCGAAGGAAAAATCGAAAACATTCGCTTATCTCTTCGCAACACTCGAACTCAAGGCCTGCTACGGCTCCTCGTCGATCGATCAATCCGGAATGTATTATTAACTGCGTACTAATTATCCCCGTTCGTTAACGGAGGAGCCGAAACACGTAGTTAATATTGCATAACATGGAGCACGCCATTGGTGCGATCCGAAGCTTTTAACGCTAATTACAATCGACATTTTTCACCCTCCAGGGAAGACTGAAAACTCGTCCTTGTTCACGCCGTGTCGACTACCATCGATACGAGAGGACGACGATATTTTTCTTTCTCTCGAAGGTCTTTCTTAACCTTTTTATCGCAAACAATCGATATATACTCTTCGTGCCACCGTTCTTCCGTTATCTATACTAAACTAATAATCGTTCCACAATTTCTTCTATGCTTTAATGGAGATCTTTCTAAAAATTGTAGTCGTTATATTGTATCAGTTTCGTCGCTTTTAGGTACAAGTCTATATAGCCCACATTATTGTATCAAGAGTTTCGTCGTTTTTAAGTACAGTCTCGCTATATGGCCCAAATCGTTATATCATAAGTTTCATCGCTTTTAGATGCAAGTCTACATGACCCACATCATTGTATCAAGAATTTCGTCGTTTTTAAGTACAGTCTCGTTATATGGCCCAAATCGTTGTATCATAAGTTTCGTCGCTTTTAGGTATAAGTCTATATGACCCAAATCATTGTAACAGAAGTTTCGTCGCTTTTAAGTACAAGTCTCGCTATATGGCCCAAATCGTTGTATCATAAGTTTCGTCGTTTTTAGGTACAAGTCTACATGACCCAAATCATTGTAACAGAAGTTTCGACGCTTTTAAGCACAAGTCTCGCTATATGGCCCTCAACGACCATATAGACATGACTCCTTCAGAACCAAATTCTTTTGAGAATTATATATTCTATGTAGATCTTGTATTTTGTTAAAAAGTATACTTATAGACGTGTAGTTTTATAAAGTACTATACACAACACCAAGTATAAGAATTGTGTGCAGGGCCATATAACGAGGTGGACTATAATAGACATTTTAAAAATTGATCAAAAGGGAAGCAAGTAATAAAGCGACGTTATTAGTCGGCCATCCAAACATCGAGTTCCAATTAAAACAGTTTTAACTGGAATGATCGCGAAGATAGCGAGAGCGATGGTCAGCGTTTGTTCTTCCAAACTGAAGTCTAAGTTTCGAACTAATAGCGGCAATTTTCATTTCCGAGTGCTGTTCCGGAAAGTTTCAACTGCTTTCCTGAACCTCACAGTCAGACCTCCCTAACGCCTGTTGCAAAATACTCGCTTCCAAAGTTTCCCTAATTACACGACACTTCGTCCGCGTTCCCGTATCGTGAAATTAGCTGAATTATCGCGGACAATCTTCTTCGCGTTCACTTTCGTCTTATCGTTTTCGACGTTTGGTCGTTGATCAACCTCGACAAATTTCATCGAGACTATTAAGAATAAATTTTGATAATGAGCGAATCGACGAAAGAGTTCGATACAGCGCAGATGTAAAATTTGTCGTTCTTTCGGTTAATCGCACGATGAAATGGCCGAATGCGATTTAAATTGTATTATCGAAGATTCAATTTATCAGATCTGTTCGCGAATTTGTTTAACGAGATTCTCGAGATTAATCAACCGTGTACCATTATTCGCCAACAGCGAATTCATTCGTCTTTAAACACGTACAAAATTGAACATCGAACAATAAAAGGATCCGAAACAATAAAACGGAACGATGAGATTTATCTCCGAGCACTGTTAAATGGCTAATTGATTTCGAACGAATTATACCGCAATCCTAATTGAAATATCTTCCTTCGGGGATGCCGTTCGAGCCAGCAATTTCTCGGAGCTACAAACGATAGTGTACGCTTGTTAACATCTCTCTATTCCTATTCATAAACTGTAGCCTGCCAGTTAAATTCAGAAATACCTTGCATCTCATGAATCGAATTCAACATCCTTTTAAACATTACTTCCGCATCAGGGAACCGTAACAACCACCGACTAAACGTTAACATTCGTTGTTGTTTCAATTAGCTGACACAATAACCATATACAAATACGGTAGACTCTTGCTATATTGCCGTGAGGATACAGAAAAGTTTTTACAGTTAATATCACACGCGACGCAATTCAATGTGGGAGGAATCTATAGGAAGAATGTACGGGGAAATACAACGCATCGCAATATGATGCGTGGCGATATAACACGAGGTTACATAACTTGTGGTGATATATCGCGAGACTATATAATGCATGGTAAAATTAAACGCGTAGCAATTCAATGCTTGGAAAAACTAACGCAGGGAAATTAAACACGTGGCGATATAACGCGTGGTTGTATAATTCGTGGCGATATAATGCGAGGTTATATAACGCGCAGTAAAATTAAATGCGTAGCGATTCAACGCTTGGAAAATCTAACGCACAGAAATTAAACGCGTGGAGAATCTAACGCAGGGAAATTTAACGCGCGGCGATATAACGCGAGGCTATATAACGCGCCGTAAAATTAAACGCGTAGCGACTCAACGCTTGGAAAATCTAACGCAGAGAAATTAAACGCGTGGAAAATCTAACGCAGGGAAATTTAATGCATGGCGATATAACGCGAGGCTATATAACGCGCCGTAAAATTAAACGCATAGCGACTCAACGCTTGGAAAATCTAACGCAAAGGAATTAAACGCGTAGAGAATCTAACGCCGGGAAATTTAACGCGTGGCGATATAACGCGAGGCTATATAACGCGCCGTAAAATTAAACGCGTAGCGATTCAGCGCTTGGAGAATTTAATGCGTGAAATACAACGCGTGTTAATATAACACATGGCGATATAACACGTGGTAATATAACGCGAGGCTATATAACGCGCCGTAAAATTAAACGCGTAGCGATTCAGCGCTTGGAGAATTTAATGCGTGAAATACAACGCGTGTTAATATAACACATGGCGATATAACACGTGGTAATATAACGCGAGGCTATATAACGCGTGGTAAAATGAAACGCATAGCGGTTCAACGTCTGAAGAATCTAATGTAGGAAAATACAACGCGTGTCTACACAACACGTGGCAATATAACGCGAGGCAATTCAAGACATAGGAAATTCCATGCAATATAACGCGAGACCTCAAAAAGTACGGCCTTGAAGCCACGTTACTATTTTTTCTGCATTTCAGACACAGGTTGCGAGTTGACCAGCGAGAGCATGCCCCTTCAAAGCGCCTTAACAGCAGCGGTGCAGACATCGGTGGGCGTGACGGAGATCTCCCTAGCGTCGAACACATCGGCGAAAACTAATAACGAGCAAGTGGCACAACTGTAGAGAGAGAAGAAAAGAGAGAAACCACAGCACCTTGGCGGGTCGTAATTCAAATTTCGCAGCACCAGGGCTACCCTGGCAGCGAGCCAACCGATAAGGAGGGAGAATCGCGAGTGAATGGTGGGAACGTGTGTTAATAAAAAGGGGATGATATTCTGATCGGTCGTGGGAGAAATGTTGTGTAGAAAATCGAGTATAAAGATCGCGGAGGATCTTTGAGCTATACCCGTGACTAACTTCGAAGGCTAGATCGAGAAACACGATGGAAAACGGGTTCGTGTGTGCTATCGTTCGTAAGTGTCCAGACTCTTTCTAACTTTCAAATCGACTTTTCTTAGAAATTGCTCTGATCTTTTGATAAAACGTACCGTTAATTACAAAACTACTTTTTTTAAGTACTATTACCTCTACATTTTTCTGAATTCGTGAGGGAAGCGTCTGGATATTCGCGGAACGGTGTTGTAGATACGCTTAGATCGACGTCGATTAATGTTACGAAATGGACTAAAAACTAGGACGGAAACCTACGTTGCCTATTAATCTAATAACGACATTGATCATATCGTCACTGTCGTATTTGTTCGCTCATTATATCGAGATCATTCGTGTCGCGATCACTGTTGTCGTTATTGTTACTGTTAACGGTTATCCTCGTGAATTACATATATATGAATGATACACAAACACACGCATATACATATACATGCATATAGATGATACGTTGATACAGAAGAATCACTGGCACGAGTACATCAACGCGATATCGCGTGACATTTACGTTTACCATCACGCGATATCGCGTGTTCACTCGTTCAAAATTTTAATCATAAAATTTGCAATTTGAAGCTTCAGTGAGTAACCAAATTCAACAGTTAATTATTCGCGACGGTGGTCGAAAGTACTGGTGCCAGGAATTATTCCTGTACGGTTCAATCACGCAAATTGTAATTAGCTTGTTTCGAGTGACGTTCATTGTTCACACTCGTAGAGAGAAGGAACAAACGTTTATTACAATTTCGCGGGATGTATATAACATGTATATCGTTAGATAGGTACATTCTCTTCGAGTTCATTCGATAATTTGGTTAAGTTTGTTGCCGGGGACTGTATCTTGCTTTACTGTTTCAAAAAGACCGCGATCGAGGATTCGATCACGTATTGTTCGATATATCCGGTTCTCTATACCGTCCCCTTCTGGTTATCACCGTTTCAATAATTAGCATGTTTCACACGAAAGAGTTGTTTTGTAAAAAATGATTAACAAGTAGTCAATGAAAGAAGGTACAATTCGACCGATCGCTGTGCGACCCTTTTAAACGTAGCTCGCGAGAGATATATATACATGTCTGAGGGTGGGGACAAGTGGCGGCAAATTTGAAACTCTTCCACGAACGGTAGACAATAAATCGCTTTAATCGGCGACTCAACCTGGTACGACCAATTCACACTCGATCTGTTCGACTCCTTCGATTTTCATTGTCTAAAACATGGCTAGTACTTTTAGTTTCTAGTCGAAAACGCACGTTCATAGATATTCTAGAAAGAAATCGAAAATTACAATTTCAGCGGAGATTGTAATCTTCGATCGTGCGGTTCGAAAATTACGAGCGTCTCGGAAATTTCAAAAACAAGAGTGTGAAGTTGACGCGAATGCGTTACGCATCGTACAAAAAAAGATAACTTTGTATCTTTTATTATAACACCGAACATTGAAATAGAGTTGCCCCGTCAAAATGAACTCTTGAATTATTTACCATACCACTCCTATCCTGCTTACAAGAAAAAAATTAAACGATATTCCGTGTCACGGTGATTTATGGAATTATTTTAGTGACAGAGAAATTAGCAACGCAACGAGAATCAAATTATCCCGTTCTGGATTGCATCCTTCAGGAGCTGTCTGCTTTTAATTTTAATCCGCTTCGAAGCACTCTACAATGGTAAGAATGCTGAGAATTAAGATCTTCTTGGTAAAATAAAACATTTTTCACTGTTCACAAAATGGCGGCCAGTGAACAGCTGACTCAGAGTTAAATTACACATCTCTTTTAAACAGTTAAATTATGGAATTAAAGTCTCTAAGAAGTTGGACTTGGTAAAAGAAACTAAACCTAACCTAGCCTGATGTCATAACAATAGCAAACGCAAAAACAAAAGGAAGTCTTCCTTGACCGTAACTGATAAACTCCACTTCTGGTGCTCGGCTATTATTGCATGAAGTTTGTTTCACGTTCGAGCGCATCTTAATAGCCGGTGACCCGAGTAAGAATATTCATGACCCGTATTCCATGCAGAGTCCAATTTTCGTTGGCATTAATAAAACACCACGGTATTCCGCCAGGGTCACTGAAATAGACTGACACAAAATCCCGATATTCTTGTTTCTCATTAAGCATGCACCGTGCTGTCATGTCACGAAAAGATACAAGTAAAATGCAGGATCCGTTACAATTACGATTTTAATGGTTAACCACGACTGATCACTTTGTCCGTACGAAAGGAACCGGCATTCAATTTGAATACAAATCAAACTACATACATTCGGAATGAACCTTGGTTATTCGGGAACGAGATTTTTGATCGATTGAATAATTGATTTACGGCGATTCGATTATTTCGTCGAAGAACGCCAGTGTTGACTGTTATTCAAACTACCATTGCGTAACTTTGCTGCGAGTATATATTTTGATAACGGCGTACACACGATAACAACAAACGTTGAAAGTTACACGCGCTGTTTTCTGCAGATTGTCGTCTCTCGTTTTTTTGGAAACTGTTTTTGATCACTAGAAATTGAAAACCTGTTCGAGAATGGCTTCAACGTGGAGGTTCATGGCCCTGGCGTATCTGGTAAGAGCACCTGTCAAACGAACGTATTTCCAGATAAATCGAAATATTGTGCACCATACGAGTCATGGAGAATGCCCTTCGTGCAATCTCGGCTACTCTCGGAAATCTTCGGTTGTTTGCATACCATTCGGGGAGTCGTGACTACATATTGTCATAATTGAGGGGGATTTATCGAACATTGTAAACAGTCGGGGACAAATATTTCACACGTTCGATGCGTTTAATCGTAACACGTAGGATTGGTCTTGTTACGTACCGTTTATGTCAGCCTTGTTTAACCTTTGAGTTAATATGTTCAGCGAGAGAACCGCCTCTTACAATACACTTCATTTTGTGGTTTCAAACAAATTATACGACGGAGTATTACTGAAGCAATAAACACGTAGCCGTGGCACGATAAATGAAATTAACACGCGACGTGACTGACCCGTCAAAGTTAGCGACGCCGCTCGTATTTTCGCGAAATAACGTTTTATTTAGATTTTCGTCTCAAACTCAATTTATGTGTCCAACTTTCACACATTGAAAAACAGTATTATAACCGTTCATTTTTAGTGACAAATTTTAAAGTAAATGACTCATGTAAGAGGCGTTCGTATTGGATAATCGTTCGAAGCGTTTGACAGGATTGGATAACGTTTCCCGCGCAATATCAGCACGATTTTAACGACTAATTTATCGTTCAAATATTTGCGTTTATAACGTTAAAATGTTCGAAGATTATCGCAACATGCATTATTGTAAATTTTGATATTGTAAAGTACGATAAGCTGTGCAATTTTTAATGACTCACCGATGCTGGCGATTTCCCTATCGTCTCCATTAAGATTAGCGTGCGTCCTGAGTCCTGAAAATAAATTATTCATGAACAAGTGCTTTACTTGAGAAATTGATTTCAATTATTGAATACTAACTCGAATCGCATTACACAACACGTTTTTAATATTCATGTTGCACTTTTAAACTATTTTCACAACTTTTAATTCACTTTACGACGTTCGACATACGCGCACGAAGGATAATTCAAACTAAAGATGGCTGCCGATGTACTACTCGAATCAAATGCGCTATCGAACGATATAGTACGAATTATTATATCAATAATTTTTAAATATTTCTGCGTACTAAATTTATTTTATTTTATTTATTTATTTATCTTATGTTTTAGACATTTAAATATGATACAAAAATAAAATTTAATATAATTAACTTCGATCGATTGATAATCGATTGCGTACTATTTCGAACAATTTCACGCGCCAAATTTGAAAGATAATGGCGGTACTAGTATGATACACAACACTCGATTTTCTTAACAAATATAATATAAAAATAAAATGTAATATAATTACATTTCGATCGAATATTGATAATCGATTTCGTACTATTTCACGCGCCAAATTTGAAAGATAATGGTACTAGTATGATACACAGCACTCGATTTTCTCAACAAATATGAACAAAAATATATACAAGCGCAATTATTTAAAGATAAGAACCAGGATTTCCAAGTTGCTGACGAATACAGAAAGAAATCCATGTTTATTTAGGGTAGGAATGTACGCGATCAAAAATGTCGATTCTTCTCTGTAAGCTGCTTTCGATGCGGAGCCGTCGTCCCCTTCAGACTAACGGATATCGGAGAAGGAATTCGAGACGTCACGATAAAAGGATGGTGAGCAAAACAATGAATTTTCCGTTAACCGTCATACCTGCGACAAGTCTTGACAATTACAGACTGTTTCTCTTATCTCTGCTCTTCGCTATCATACGTTCCCTCGAGAATGCGTCGTTCGAGAAAAAATGTATGCATAGACGCGTTGCGAAGTGAAACTTCTATATTGTGGATCAAAATTTGGGTTCACGATTTTGACGTAACGTTAGGTCATGTTAATAGAAATTTCACTTAAAAAATCTTGGGTCGAAAACGCATAACTTACCAGATATGCGGGACAATGTGTTTCGGCCCTAATGTACCGTAAAGACAACTGAACTGTACTCGATGCATTGAAATGCATAGGTACGTGAAACCAGGCGACCGGGTGTCTCAATTCGATAACATTTGCGAGGTCCAAAGCGACAAAGCATCCGTGACGATTACCAGCCGTTACGACGGATTAGTTAAAGCCTTGCACTACAAGGTGGACGATGTAGCTCTGATAGGGGACGCGTTGCTGGACATCGAACTAGACGGTGACAGTGATGAAAGTACAGTAATCGAGAACAAAGGGAACGTCCAAGTCGAGGGAGAAAAACAAATTGGAATAGAAAAAGCGCTGGCTACCCCGGCGGTCAGAAGGATAGCCATGGAGAACGATATTAAGTTAAAAGACGTCGTTCCCACGGGGAAAAATGGGAGAGTGCTTAAGGAGGATATATTGGCTCACTTGAAAAAAATTTCTGTTGGTTCCGAGGAAAAAAGGGTCGAGGAAAAACCAACAGCCGAGAAGGTGCCGATAAAAGGCTACAGCAAGCATATGTGGAAAACGATGACGCAATCTCTGGTAAGTTGGATCTTCCCCTGGGGACAACCATGTCGCTAGAAATTCTCTCTTCATAATGTAACAAAATACCATTCACTTCAGTCTTAAACTTTCCTAAATTCTTAAGCTGTCAGCAACTCATAAAACTTCTTTAAGTGATTAACAGATCAGCTTACCTATTTTATGCTAAAAGTTTCATGCTGTAGGTCTTGCATGCTTTACCACCTAAAAAATAATATTTCACTGATATTAATATTATATAATAACATATAATATAATATATATATTATATTATATATATATATAATATATATATTATATTATTTATATATATAGAATATAATAATATAAAACAATATTAATATAATAACAATATTATTAGTATAATAATACACTAGTTAAAAGTATTAAAAGAAGTCGGAATTTTGACCAGTCAGATTGCTATCTACATGAATGAAATCACAAAGCGTGCCTATTAACCGCGATATTAATAAGCTGTGGCAGGTTAAAATGTAAATCATGCGTAAATTGCAAGATTAGCAGAATTTCGTCTATCACGTGTCCACTAAATAAGCGATTGGTTAATCGTTATAAATCAATGGACGGCTAATGGCGCGTCGAATAAACTGATTTAACGATTAAATGACCGCCCGCGGTAAAAGGAAAAAAAGAAGACCGTAATTCGATAATCGTACCACAGAAGTCTGCCTCTGGTAGAGATTCTGTGCGCACCGTGTCAGCAATTGGAACACGAGAATCACGGCAAACCGATAATAGAAGTGCGTCGCCTAAAAGTGACGTTGACACACGCGATTGATAGCAATCGATCGAATCCGACCACTCGGCCGAATTTCCCGTCGACGTTGACGAACGAAACATGTTTAAAGTGTTCCGGAAAGCACAGATGTTTCAATCGCTTCATCCCTCTTCTTTTTAGCCTGCAAATATAACGTGCACATATGATTGCTGACTTTGTTAATTACATGCCCCAAATAAACGTGTAATTAACGCGGTGACGTTACGTAAAACGTAGGAATTGTTTACAGAGCATACCTCACTTCGTGTACAGCGACGAATGCAATGTTGATAAATTGACGGATTACCGGAACGAAGTGAAAGACACTTTAAAACAGCAGGGTGTCTCCTTAAGCTTGATGCCCTTCTTCATTAAAGCAGCCTCGAAAGCGTTGGAAAAAGTGCCACAATTGAACGCGTGGCTCGACCAGGAAAATCAAAGCCTGCAAGTTTTAGACAGCCATAATATTGGGATCGCTATGGACACACCGGAGGGTCTGGTAGTACCTAATATAAAAAACGTTCAAAACTTGAGTATCGTGGAAATTGCGAGGGAACTGAATAGACTTCAAGAACTTGGCAGGAAGACGTCGATACCATTGAACGATTTATCGCAGACAACATTCTCCTTATCGAACATCGGCGTTGTAAGTCTATGAAAACTTTCAATCTATCGATATTAAGTGGCATCAATCGTTGTACAATCAAATCACTTTAAACTCACTCTCAGTTGTTATTCAAAATCGATGTAATTGATCTGGAAACAGTGATGAACAAGTCGAGTGCCGGCAGAAGAGTCACTAGCATGTTAGGGAAACTTGAGGAGAATTTAAAAATTCTCAGATTTTGAAAATTTTTGATAATTTGACATATATAGCGCCTGTAGGTTATCAGCCTGTTTACTCGCATACCGCGTATGCGCAATTGGCCATCACTGATCTAGGACATCGATCTATTCGATTTATTCGATACTTCGGTCACGTGATATTATGGCGCCATTCGAAAGATTTTATCTTTACAGATTGGCGGTACGTACACGAAGCCGGTAATTCTGAGTCCTCAAATCGTAATCGGTGCACTTGGAAAAGTGCAAACGTTACCTCGATTCGATGATAAACAGAATGTAGTTGCTGCGAAGATAATAGCGATCAGCTGGGCCGCCGATCATCGAGTTGTAGATGGCGTCACTATGGCGAAATATTCGAATCTATGGAAACACTACGTTGAAAATCCTACGCTTCTGTTAATAGGCGCGTAACTTCGCAGAATTTTAAGAAATGTACTTGAAAAATACTTTAATCGAAAATATTTTTTCAACGACGATAAAATATACTTACATATCGCTGTATTATTTAAGTACAATAAAGATCTGAACATTTTGTACGTAAATATTAATTTATTTATTGCTGCACAACCAACTAGGACATTTTAAGAAAGGTAAAATATCTTTTTTTCTAACATATTCAAAGTGTTACAACTGTATGATAGTTACTATACGGTGATCTGTCAAACTGTGAGCACTTTCATACAATAAATCTATTATACAATGTCATACAAACCATTCAAATAGGATATACAAAAAAATATAAAGTGGTTGTACCGATTTGAAGGTCTACAATGGTTCTATTTATACAAAGCAAAAGTTCCATTGTTGTAACGATAGATTAACATTAAAAGAAAGGGAAGTTTAATTTAACAGATTCATAATTAAATGAAAATTTGTACAAGTACTACCACTTGTTCATTTATATGCTTGTAATTTGCATATATACAATTTAATGTATTATATTTTTTCAATCACACGCTTCCAGTACAATCTTTACACTCCTTTAAATGCCACTTAAATATTTCTTCAAAAAGTAGTCAGTCTGTTTAGTAATTAGAGTAGTAGAAAAGAGTGTATATGTGTTCTTATGGTCCAAAATCTTTCATTTAATAATTAAAATATTCATTTGATTCCACGAATGGTTCTAATTCAAATCTCCAACAATACTTTTTAAACTTTAAATAAATGAATACGCATGCAAAATTTGTACGCTTATTAAGAATAAACACGTAAAGAGTATTGATCGAAACATAAATGCATATATAAATATATCATTCTTTTCTATCATAGCTCTTATAGGTAAAACTGGTATAAAAAAAACTACACAAAATATTACTAGAAATACAGATGTTAGGTGATGGGTATAATCCACCTTTGATCATACTTCTTATTTTCCAATATGACTAGGTATGCAGATTATTGTTGGTAATATAGTTAGTTCAGAAGTTTAAATACAAAGCTGCTTTTGTATAGTAGAACTACGTATACTCGCAAAAATAACTAAAACACATATAACTTTTACTAAGAATACTTTACAATTGAGTATATAGTTGCCTAAAATTACTTTCACAAAATACAGAAGTAAAGTGAGGATCAAAAATAATCTGTTCTTTTCTTTTCTTCTTTTTTTCTTTCTTTCGAAAATATATCAACATGTAAATTCTACGTGATATATTTGAAGGAATCCTTCTGAAAATATAAAACTTTTTGTCGTAATTCTCAATCATGGAAGTTCTAAGCTTCTCACAGTTTCAAATAATGTATACTCAGAGAGTAGAATAAAATAAGACGTATACATTTTAAGTCATGCTCAACCCACACACGTATATACGTATATCATATACATACATATATACCCCTGTTATATAGCTACCGTGTAACTGTAACGTTATTTTCATGGAATTGTTAATAAAATTATTAACGAACTCCATATTTAAATTAACATCAGAAAATATTTCGATTCTATGCAGAAAGACATTTCAAAAAATATAAAAACAATTAATACACAGTACTTAAATGCATTTACACAAATGCATAAAACATACTCCTTGAAGATCCTTAGAATAAGCAAAAGCTAATTAAAACTGTAAAATATATAAACAAAGAATGCATAGGTAATGAGAATGTGCACAGTAATTGTTCTGTATGCGAGGTAAAGCGAAGTGCGATATCGTTATCTTGTTGTAAAAGTTCTGGGGTACAAATAGCGTACTGGTTTTAACTCGTACCTTGACACGAACAGTTTTCGCTTGTGCCTATACATCATTGTACAACCTTTCTAAACATTTATCTCACAGCTCTACTCCATTTACATGAATAACTTTCATTTTTCGATATACCTCCACTAACATAGAAAAGTAGTGTTTTATCTTACGTTTCGGCATTATCATACCATATTAATAACTGTCGTTAAATAACAGTTTCTACAAGGTACATACATTTGTTCCTTTAGCACAGAACGGATCAAATATAGTAATTCACAACCACAACAATAAAAATTTAATTTTATAAAAAAAAACTTAAAAGCTGACTTCATGAGTAAAAGAGAAGCGTTCAATAAAATTAAACATATCACGAATCAATGGCAAGCAAAATCGTTTAAAATGAAATGTGAGAATGTGATTTGTATAAACAATTTAAATTTGAGTATTTCAGGGAACTTCCAACAAAATAGCTATAAATGTTACGAATAAAATTACGGCACATAGAAGAATATCCCTTTATCCTTACTGTAACAAGATTCTCACAGATAGTTTTGAGATAAACGCAAAATTTTAAACATAAATTATAAAATTTGTATGAATAGATTTGTAGAAAAAAAATATATCTATGTGTACTAAATACTTTAAAGAACATAAAGTAAATATCTATAAGAATCCTGCCCAAGTGACAGAGATAACTTTTGTATATATATATATATATATATACGTTATATATATATTTGTTTTATACATAATCATTTTTAATGTATACGATTAATAAATAGTATTTTGTTCTGGCACATTGTCAGCTCTCTGCAAAGAGAACAAGTGAGTTGACATAAATACAACCAACACCATAAAACAACACTTTTATGGAGTTTGAAAGTCAGGAAGAAACTTATCTTAAATTGTTCACTAAATAGTTACTACCTTATGCTATTTACGTGGGCAATATATAATACGAGTGAGCTGTGGATTGGCCCATGGTGAAATTTGTCTTAAAAATAATTTTCTTGTACATCACATTTCAATTTTCTTTTTTTCATCAATTGTGCAAGAAAACAGGTTCTTAATCTATGATATAACCTAAGGATCAATTCTTGCTTCTTGTTATTGTTCCTTCAAAACGTTATTATATAGTCATACGACCACTGGAAGCCAGAAATGTTTTCTTCGAATATGTGCCCCCCACTTTCACCTTTGGTAACGCTGTTTCAGTCGTACAGATCAGTCGCAAAGAGTACGATTCACTATCGTGAAAAGCGTTCAAAGCAAAGTCAACTATGTTCTTGCATGTACGTTGGATATAAGTTTGTCGATCTCGATCAACAAATTTTATCCATAAAAAAAGAAACTTACATGAGACGTACTCAGTCTAATGTGCGTAAACTAATTGACGAAATTGGAAAATAAGAAATTTCCATCGAGTTAACGTTATTGATGACGACTGATCATCATGGATACCACTGCACCGGTAGCTCGAAGAACAGCCACAGCATTATTGTGATCGGATTTTGTGAAATCTATGCCATCCACTTCCAAGATTTTGTCCCCTGGTCGAAGTGTACCTTGTGCTGGACCATCTGGATTGACTTTAGTTACTATAATTCCCTGAGACAAACAGAAGGACACATTAAAGTCTATAATAACTTGTAACTTTCACTTTGAATTACAAATATTTACAGTTTCTGCACCTGCCACACCACCGGCTATACTGAAACCAAGACCTGGATTTTTTTTCACCTGAACAGGTAACTGTAAATGCAAATTGTTCATTATAGTGCAAGTAAAAAATATCTTTCATCAATTTCTCTACCAAGGGGAATAACGTACCACATTAGCATTTTTATGCGGTCCAAACATCCACTTAAATCTTGGCTTTTTTTCAGAGTTTAATAATTCATTTGTCCCGGTAACCTTGTACTTATCAATATTAGAATTGGTCACCTCATTCTGAGATTTATTGTTAATTGAAATTGGCGTACTTCGACCAGAGTTAGTTTCATTTCTTACGAGTACAGGACTGTTCATATTTAGAGACGTTTCATGAGATACAGTTTGTAAATTTGTATCTTGATCATCTACATTCGAATTTGTTGAATTTACTGATACCACGTTATCGCATAAAGTATTATTATTGGAGACATTTCCGTTTACCGTTTTCTTTGACCGATCTGAAAGCTTTGCTTGTATAGTGAGCGGACTTCGATATTTCTTCCCGGTTACCGGTGATGTAGGTATGCACGACGGGTCCAGTACTTTCGTGGATTCATAATCTTCAACGGAAGAGTTTATACACTTATTTGATAGATCATTATTCGAAAGAGAATTCGTAGATTCTAGATGCTTTGTTTTTAAAATAGGTATTCTACTTGGTTTCAATAATCGGTCCCCTTCAAAAGATTGTTCCGGTTCATTAGATTCTGTTTGGTCTTCAGTATTGGAAGTTTTCCCATCAGTTACAGAAATATTTGTTGCATCTGTATTATTCAATGAAAGTTGATCACTATATAAAGGTACGTGTTCCGCGACTTTAAATGATTCTACTCCATCATAATTTTGTGTTTGCATTTCCTGAGGTGTTCTTGAATTTGTTACGTTAACTTCAGCTTGTGGAGGAGTGATCGTGGACGAGTCTGACTGAGCTGTTAAAATAATAAATTTTTCTTAGTCAATTTAATGGTATAAATTATCTGTATATAATGAAGAGTAACGTACACTGATTTAACTGTTGAAAAAGAGCCGCTTTCTTTGAAAATGCAGCAGCGATATGATACGGTGGCGGAACAGGTGGAATTTCGTTCAGTTTTGGCGTTTGAATGTGCATCTGTTCTGTGTTCTTAGTACCCACGGCAATAGGTATACTTTTATACGGATCTATAAATTTTTCTGATTCCACGATCTTTGCTGTATTCGCTTTCGAATATTCATCCGGTTTCCAAGTAGAATTCACGTAGTCTGCTACTGTTGGAGGCTTGGAAAGATACTCGGAGGTAGGATTACGAATATATTTTGCTTCTCGAATATCCGGGCTTTTCTCTTTCGCAAGTACTGTCTTATTCGCTTCGTCAGAAGATTCTTCTGAAACGGACTGTTCTGTTCCAACATCAGTAGGGCTGTTGTTCTTGTATCCTTTTGACATATGACGTTCAGTAGGTGAAAGTAAAACATGCGAACCCTGTGGAGAATATGAACATTAAATTACAGTTTGAATTCCACCTATTAAATTTTCTATAATCAATATTCATGCTATACTGAATCTCATTTTATTTTTATATCATAAATGTTTATTAGAATTATCAAATTATTAGTGTTCATTGAACTCGTTAACATTATTAATAGTTACTCTGGAATTTACTAAATTGTCTTTTTTCCTATAATTCTCAATACCTTATTAAACAAACTTTGCGAAAAACAGGTCCCGGTTTTTGAGGTAAGGTCCAGAGTAGTTGTAGCAATAATAGCTTCTTTGATCATAGTCTCCTGTTCTAAATGCATCTGTAATTTTCAATTGGCCATCTTCCTATATTTTCGATTTCGATCAAAATATAAAAATACACAAAAATGAAAATAAAAAGCACAGATAGAACTTGAAATTGTTCGTATCTTCCAGTGCTATTTTATTTTAAATTTTTGTCGTCTTTTTCACCCTGTTAAACGTAACAAGTGGTAGAAACAATACCGTATAACACTTACTCTTTGATCATGCGCGGACTGATGATGCAAATTGCGGGCATGCCTAGCAAGGTTGCGCAGCTCTTTAGGATAGGGAGTCGGTGCTCGATGAAGTTGCCTAGGGATCTCAGATTCTACTTCAGCAGCAAAACATATTCTTTTTCCAGTGCCAACGATTGAACTCGAAATTAGTCCTACAGCCGGTGTTACTTCTGTATGCGACATAAAATAAAACATTACTTTAATGGTACATTAATACATGTTTCAAAATACTTCTAAAAAAAATACAAAATATAATTGCTCCATTCAATTCATTAGATTGTACTTTACCCTTTCATTCCTCATCTTCCTGTTCATTATCCACTAGCAGCAATAACGTATTGTGTGTTTTAATTATTAATTATTTATGATTATATTCATGACGACATATGTAAAACACATAGACATCACTATATGAATGAAGACACTTACGTTCAAGTTCTTGCCGTGGTTTCTGTGGGAGCATAAAACAACTCAACACCATCATATCCTCTTCGCAATTGAATTCCTGTTGTAGCGGCACTAACGGTTGACTTTGATTGTCGCTCAGCCATAATGCTTTTAAATTACTCAGATTTAACATCGAAACGGGCAAAAATTTGATGCAATTGTTCACAAGATTGAGTACTCTTAACGAAGATAAATGACCTAGTTCAGGCGGTACTCGGGTTAGATTATTTGATCTTAATGAAAGCAACGATAATGCAGTACAACTTCCAATTTCTGGTGGAAGGCATCTCAAGTAGTTATTGTCTGCATTTAAACAATGTAGTTTTCTCAAAAGTCCTATCGACGATGGTAAATATTCAAGGAAGTTCTTAGTAACTATAAGCTCCTCTAAGCTTGACATCTGTCCAATGTCATTTGGCAGTGCATTCAATTGATTGTCATCAACTTTAAGAGTCACAATTGTACGTAGATAGCAAAGAGAGTCTGGTAACTGATAAATTTCATTCGATGAAAGATGCATAATCGAAATATCTCTCCACCCTTCTACCTCTGATGGAATAACATGGATTGCATTCATTGTACAATCAAAATGATTTAAACGATAAAGTTGGTTAATGTTAACCGGTATACGTCTAATATCATTACCATCTATCCACAATTCTGTGAGGTTGATGAGATCCCCCACAACTTCAGGCTGTAAGAATGTTGTCAATTTAATACATATCAATACATTGTATCACTTTGACAAACACAAACTTACCAATTCAGTGAAATCATTATTACCAATATCAAGTCTTTGTAAATTTACTAAACGGCTCATACTCTTTGGCAATGTCATCATGTTATTCTCTCTAAGTTCTAACGTTCTCAAAGCTGAAAGTCTTCCAAAATTTGCTGGTAGATATTCTATATATGCATCGTTTATATATAATTCTCGTAATCCAACAATATGAGTAATAGCATCTGGGAAACGTTCAAAAGGATTAACACTGATATCTATAGAACGAAGGTTTTTACATTCTTTTATACTATCTGGCAATTCTTTAATACCTGAAAAAAGAAAAATAGTATTAACAAAACATACTTAAGTGTTTACAACAAAAATTTTATGAATAATGTTTCTATACACACTATTTTTACTGAGGTCTAAATATTCTAAATTAATTAATGATGCTATGGCGGGTGGTAACGTGGTGACTTCATTATCACTAAGAGAAAGTACTCGCAATTCATGGCACTGAAACAGTGGCCTTGGAAGATCCTTTATCTACGATAAAATATAAATGTAATTTCTCAAAAATGAAAAATGTTAGCAGCTGCATAAAAACAATTCTTTAATATTTATAATTACTCTGTTGGCATCAAGATACAGCTTTTCCAATGTCCTTTCATAAATGAACACATCAGGTGGTACATCATAAAGATTACAGTGATTTAACTGTAACTCGCAGATATCTTCTTCTTGTGCTCTCAAACATGCAGTGCACTGCCACCAAGCACTACCCATTTCATGAATAACTGTAAATAAATATATTTTAATTTTTATACATGTCAATAATAAGCTGAAAGTATGGTTCATTGTGCATAAGTGATTCACACAGCAACAATAGGTAATTGACAATTACCTATAATACTTCAAGAATGATTCTTCAAGAACATCGATATATCTATGGTAAGCAAACAGATTTGTGAACTCGCTAAAGACTATCGTTCTATGGAATTTTTGAAAATCATTCGGACATTGAGACGTCAATGTTCCGTTTTTTTCGAGCTGGCTTCGTCAAAGTTATTTCTTGTCGCACCATAGCGAATATTACGATACGCGATACAATATTGAGAAGTTTCTTCCTCAGACAAATGGGAATTATTCACAAAGCGTTACGATGCGGTGATCTACGCTAAGTAGATGTCAAGAGATGTAGGTTATTCGATATTTCTCTTTAAGGATTTCCCTCATGAACATATCTCACTGTTTACTCGTTACACATTTTCATTTTTCGTATAATTAGCGTAGTTAACGATGAATTGCTTTAACAGAGTAGTAAAGGATCTCCCTTGAAAGTATAAGAATTTGACACATTTGTGAGAATCGAACGACCATACAAGTCTACTATTTACTGAAAAACCTTCGATGAACTAATGGTCCGTTCATAATGCATCGATATTTCTCATTGTATCTGTACGGTTCAACGAACATTGAAAAATTTTGTATTAACCAGGTTTGACAAAAAGAAACAGATTTTATTCAAGTGCGTTGTCACTAATGAGCAAAAACGATTGAAAGCCAACAGCTTTCAATGTAGCATATCATTTATTGAACATGGTTAGCTGTGCAATAACCTGAATTAATTGTAATTTTCATCGTAAACAGCAAGCGAATCCTATATAGATCCGCGATGTTTGAATATGAAAATGCGCCTTAGGAGGCGCAAAATCGACAATGGCAAGTGACGTTTCCAGTCGTATACGTGCGCAGAAGTTAATTAATGGATTAAACGTGACGAAGGTGGAAGACCGAAAGTTGTGATGTATCGCAACGATAATCAAACTGGTGGTATGTTTGAATAAAAAAAATTGTTGAGTATTAAAGCGTTCATTCGTTTTCATCGAGGTAATATAAGAAACTGATGAATGTAAGTTTGGATTATAGAAGAAAATGGAAATCGTAAACGATAGCAAAATGGATCCTGACGAGTATAAAGGATGCGAGAACGACGATATCGAGAATTCGGATGAAAGTGACAGACCTTCTGGTGAAAGATGGGCACCCGTTGGAGCGAATGATGGTGACAACGATTTTTCTGATGAATATAAATATGTTGACAATATGGAAAAGTATGTGCTTAAGTTTCTATAAGCATAGAATCATTCTAGAAGCAACCTGTTATTTCTATTTTATTGTATTTTCAACAGTTTATCATATGATATGGAAAGGCTAAAGGTACTTGAAGAAGAGCAGGAGATGCTTAATTCATCCCTCATAGCATTGACCACTCATTTTGCTCAGGTATTGAATTCATTGAAGTACATTGGATTTGTAGAAATGAGTTGGTTCAATCTAATTTGTATTGTTTACAGGTTCAGTTTCGTTTAAGGCAAATCGTGGATGCACCTACAAATGAAAAGGAAACATTGCTCAAAGAATTAGAAGAATTTGCTTTCAGAGGAATACCAGATGTTCCAAATAGTTTGTCATTTGATAGTAAATCAATTACACCAACTTCACCAATGTCCTGCAAGCAAAGCGTAAGACATAAAAGACCTATTGTATTTTTGTTTTATTGATTTCTTTTTATCATCATTTTTATTCTATTTTATTTTAATTACTTTTGTTGTTTTTACCTTTGTTATGCATTTAGCTTATGGTAATGCAATTCGCTTTGCTTGTAACATGCAGAAATGCATATAAATCTGTGATATATTTTTATATTTTCTATTTATCTAGTATTAAATATTAATTATGTTGGACAATAAAATATTTTATATCAGTTATTTCTATCGTATATGTTTATTATTCTCATGCCATGGTTTTTAATCCTAATTATACTCCAAAGTATTTTTATGATAACAATCAAAAGAACAAAAGACAATTGAATACTTTGTGTGTACAATTTGGCAGATATCTGGAGTAATTAATGATGTTGATGTTGAATCTAAAATGGCATTACAAAGAACGAAACAAAAAGAATTGATATGTCAACTAAAGTCTCAATTAGAGGATCTAGAAAAGTATGCTTATGAGACTGGTGATGCAGAATTGCCACAAAGTATGATATTAGAGAGACAGAATATTATAATCAGTAAGTTTCTTTGAACTATGTTTTTTCTCTTACAGGATCTAACTTTACAAGTTTCTTTCAGATCACTTGAAAGAGAAGTTAAATTTCAATGTCGACGATCTCTGTAAATTACCGGTTGATGATTTAAAATGGCAAGTAGATTATGCTATAAGTCAGGTAAAGTATTTTATTTTATTAGACATGTTAATAACAAAGTAAATAGAATAAAAATCGTAAAAACTAAACTATGTTTTCAGATTGTTAGTCCTTTGAAAATGAAGGAACAATTAGTATCTCAATTAAAAACACAAATCGCGGATTTAGAGCGTTTTATAAATTACCTTCAAGGGGAAGTTAGCACAGAAACATTGGCCTGTACTTGTGCGTGCCCGGTACATACTAGTGGTTCCGCTACTTCAACTTCGTATGCTAATAAGTCGTTTAAAAGAAAACCAATAGAAGAAGAAAGTAAAACCAGAACTCTCAACACCGTTAAGAAAGTCGTGGTACTATTACACATGTTCCTAGTGTCTCAATTAGGATGCGGTAGTGAACGTGTGCGGAGGAATCTCAAAAAAAATTCAGCCCATAATTGGCGCGATTTAAGAACAAGATTAGATATCGCAGTAGAACATGTTATAGAGACCATTGCAGAAAGCGAACGTCATCTAGAAGATAAAGATCTTAATAATGATGACTATGCCTCGGACTCAGATTCCACGTCACATTATAATACATTAATAACGTCCGCCGTAAGGAAGCATCTAGCAACATCCATACGTGATTTAATGCAACACGGTTTAATGTCTGATGTGCGTTCCAATAGTGTTGTACCATTCGTGGGGTGTTTCCCCCAAAGAAATCCTTCTACTTCTAATTTCTACTACCATGCATGGGAATTAATACTGGAGTACTATGAAATTAGAAACGGGCATCGATATAATTCTAGTCCAGCACAGAAATTATCTCAGAGTTTTAATCTAGATTTAGCAGGTGGAAGGAATATTTCCTCCAAAGAGGTACTGGTGATGTACTTTGTTTAAACATATAATTTTCTTTGTACCAATCATATTTATTTCATAATAATTAAACTTTTTAGAGCTTGTTAACAACCATTGGAAATATTATTGCATCGCATACGCCATACAAAAGAAGCTATGATTCCCATTTTAAAGCATTTATATGTGCATCTCTGAAGTAAGTAAATATTTTTTCGAAGACACATCTTTCTGAGAATTTCAAATATATTTTTGTCATTCTAGTGCTAACAAACTGGTTGTCTGGTTGAAACTCATCTTACAATGTCAGTACCTTGTTGAGCATCATTATGCATCATGGAGTTATGTTGTGAAAACAGGTAATTAAATTAATAAACAATCTGTTATCATAACAAGTTATAATCTTAAACATATATGTATTCCCGTTATAAACAGGTTTCCAAGATGCGTTGCACACGCTTGACCGTCTTACTAGTTACAAATTTGATCTACCAGTTGACCTGGCAGTAAGACAGTTTCAAAATATAAAAGATGCATTTTGATTGCAGAGCATGTCAAGGATTACATACATGCGAGTATGCAGGTAGTCATTTTTAGTCGAAAAAACACGAAATATCAAATATTACATCGCATAATACGAAACAGTATATTTTAACCTTATAATAGTACGTCATTTTTTATGATTTTAAAAGATTATTTTACGAATAGATATTTTGATCGCATTTTATTAGTAAATAATTGTTGACGACGCAATAAGGTACAATAGTTTTACATCTCAGTATTTTGTTACCAAGTTCTTAGAATTTGAATTTTTTCTATCATTTTATGTGAGACTTAAATAGAGATAAAGTACGTTGCACGTGAAAACTTTAATGGTAATTTTATAATATAGAAATATATTTAAAAAGAGTACAGTACAGGTAATAATACAATGCTGCCTGATGTAACATGGACTGAAGCATATTATCTAGTTATTTTAAAGTACATATATCTTCAAATGTTGCACGTTCTTGGGAAAATAATAAATTTGGAATGCTAGGATCTTTATATACATTATTTCAAGAATAATCTCGTAAAGTTATACCAGAGGTTTATGAGAATTGAAGAACGTGGATTTCACTGTGATTAAAATTAATGAAAGTCGATGAACTTTTTCAAGAAATTCATATTCTTACTAGAAATTAACATTAAAAACCAAAGAAAAAAACCAAAGATTTTCTTTAACATTTTATCAATATATTTGCCTAATTTTCGATCGTAGTATTATTTTACATGTTAAAAGTAATGGATAAATACTTTAATTGCAACATATCATTGAAGCAGTAACTAAATTTAATGACACGTATCAGTGTGTGCATATGTAAATCTACATAGATGTTGTAATATGTTGTAAACAGTTTATCTTTGTTATGTTTTATCAAATTCTATAATTAATTTGTATAATATAAGTATTTGGTTACTCATGATCAGTAACAAAAGTTAAAGAAAATATCTAATTATTCTATTGTATAGCTAATTGAAAAGATTTGTATAAAGAATCACGTTCTTCTATGCTGTTACAAGTATAGATCTTACAAATATTACTTTAAATAACACGGTTCCTGATTTTACCACCGTTAAATAACATTTTGAAAGACATATAGACTTCCGAAAAACACATATTACTGAAAAACATATTATTTTCAGTAGTTCAAAGTTTATTAGATGTATATGCAGATATATACAGTTATGATATCGCCTATATAAGATAATCCTCGTATAAGATAGCATTAAGGATGTCAGATGTATCATAAAATATAAATATCTGCTTTTTATATACATAATAATTTGACATTACTTTATTGAAAGAAAAGCATGCGAAAATATATTTATGGAGCAATGTATCTTGGCTTTTTATTTAACGTCCCGATATTCTAATTTGTCCAGGAGCGAATAAACAAGAACAGATTGTATGAAATTGGTTGTTTATTCCTTGTAAAAGTTGTACATCAGTAAAAGTTTTATAGCAGCTTTTTTCAACATGTTTGTAGTATTTCATTGATAATTCCTCGATATTCGTAGTAAGGTACATAATGTTTTTCTAAACGTTTACAATCTTATCTTTGAAATAAAAGAAATGAACATAAACAGTAATCTGTTGAATTAAATAATTTTCAATTACTTCTTTATTAGGCAAATACTTTATTTATCGTTCAAAGTAGAGTATCGAGGAATCTCTATTTCCTTACAGATTAGATTAGTTTGTTGTACATAAAATTCAGAATAGATTCTACATTGTCAATAAAACATTTGAACCTAACGAATTATATAATACCAGAAATTTCTTGTTTGGTCATAGACAATACGTTTTGTACGCATTATGGCAGTATGATATCACGTACACACTACTTACACAGGATACAAATACACAGATGTTAAGAGCACAAACTTTGTAGAAGTGTTTCCTTTTGCTTTTGCAAATATAAAAGTTGTATATAAAAAGATCTATGGAAGAGCATTTGAATATTGCATTCACACTTCTTGCATGTTAATGCTCAACCAAGAATAGTATACAGAAACTGTAAGCTTATACACTTAGCACAATGTATGCTTATTCATTCCTTTCAAAAATCAACTGAACAGATATTCGTTGGTTACAAATGAATAGGCTTCTCTAGTATCTAGATGTTATTAGAAAAAAATAATAGTAAATTCATTGGAATGTAAATGCAAAAGTAAAAGATAATAGGAGTCATGATGTTACTTGGAACAAAGATTAAATTATATCACAATACTGCATTACAAGAAACAACTGTTGTACAACCAATTAATAATGGGCAAATTTTAAACAGAGCAAATAATAATTTAAATTGAATGTTGCAATAGAAACATTCACTTAAATATCAGCACAGTAATGATTTACTTTCAAACCTTATCTATAACAGTTGCACAGTATACACTCACTTAATGTTTTCTTTTAGCGTAACATTCTTCATAATAGCTTTTAATGATATTCTTCGTACATTAAATAGGCTATATTTTTTGGTACAGCAACGATCTAACATCTAACAATGAAGGACAGTTTACATATAACGTTGCTAAATATAAACTCATTTTTTTTTATAGCCAAATCGTTCACATACTTATATAAATTTAGTATTATCTGTCTTAGGCATTAGCAAAACATTGTTTCTTGCTTTGTATATATATTTATATATATAGGAAAGTTTATCTGTTCTTTGTAACATAATCTTAAGTCTCTTAGAGTATTTTTGTTCAGATCAAAGGAGGAAATATACCAAATATATTTTTTAATACGTACAATTACACATATAAATACAATATGCATACAATTATGATAAGATCAACCAGTATAACTTAATATGCATTTTAATTAAAAAAAAGGCAGTCAAAGATGAAAAGAGTTTTTTATATCAAATTTTACTTCAGTTAAAAATGTACTATCAGTCTTAATATTTTTAATTATAGAAGTAACAACCAACTAAAGTTTCGACACACAAAAGCTTGGAAACCATGTTCTATGAAAAATTTAATCAGATCATTCGAGAAGGAGCAACAGCAATACTGTATTTTCTTTATAAGCATTTTCCTATTCTTCCACAAGTTATAAACAAGCCGATAGTTAATAGCAACACACAAATTATTTGCTTTGCACATTCAGTTTTGGATTCTTATTACTTACATAATAATCATTCTATTATTATATACTACCACTGAAATCTTTGTATCATTATGTTCCATTCTTAGTGTTATATTGTTTGGACTGCCATAAATATGTACTTTGTTTCTTTTTGTGGCAGTTAGTAACACGTTATATTGTAAAATTCGTTGACGGAATGCACAAAATCACAATAGACAGAACATAAATGCAATATTAAAATCCACACATATGCGAAAGATTGCTTTAAAATATTCAGAATATCTTAATCACATATGCGTGTTGTCCATATGTACCAGTCTTCGATTCTTTAGTTTCAATATAGATTTAAATAAATATTAATAAATATAAATTATTAGCAATAGTGGAATCTAAAAGGACATTATCGATAACCACCTCGCGTAACATTTGAATTTGATAATGTAATAATTGTAAACATGATTCAAGAATGACTTAGAACAAAATGGATCTAATAGAATACATATAATATATATACAAGAATTTCGCGTAAACTAAGTAGAAACGTTAAAAAATCTTAATCGCTTTGTTCGATGCATTTATGTATTCATTCTTTTGAACATAATACTTGGCCAATATGTGTCAATATTAAAACGTTTCTCGTAAATATTTCATTCAATAAGGCTACGTAACAAACATAACAAAGGCAGTTATGTATAACATGTAAATATAACTTACTACTTACCTTTACTTCTATGTAAATATCACTTACTTTATAATCGTATGGATAATAGAGTTCTCCATTCATTTTTATCGGATTTAAACGTGGATACGTAATGGTACACTATCCGACTTATTTTCAGCTTCCAGATTGTGCTTTATAGTATCAAGGGTATTATAAATTGTTCTGAATGTAGGTCTGTCTAAAGGTCTTCTGTTCCAACAGAGTTTCATCAGATCGTATATCGGTTGTGGAGTATTCTCAGGACACTGAAGTACATTGCCTTCTTTAATGTATTGTACAACTTCCTCGTGTGTCATTCCGTAATAAGGCTGAAGTGCAAAACTAAATATCTCCCATAAGCACACTGCGAAAGCCCATACATCAGACTCGACTGTATACTTATTGTACAGTATGCTTTCTAGAGGCATCCATCTAACTGGAATAGCATCCTGTTCATCGCCTTTGTAATAATCTTGCAAATAAATCTTTTGCGACAACCCGAAGTCCGCTATCTTCACGATCATTTGATCGTTGATCAAACAATTTCGCGTTGCAAGATCTCGATGAACGAATTTTCGGTCTGACAAATATACCATTCCCGACGCAACTTGTAGCGCAATGTTGATCAAATCCATATGCGATAAACGAGAGTCTGTAAAGTGTTCGTCTCTCTCCAAATTTCGAATGATATAGTTTCCCGGCGAACAAGATCGCAGAAACTCGTTTAAATCACCACGACCCATGTACTCGAAGAGAAGACACATTGGTCGACCCAAAGCGCACACACCCAATAATTTGACGATATTCGGATGATCGAATTCGGCGAGAAGGCATGCTTCTCGTTCAAAGTCCTTGAGCAAATCTTCTGATGCCTCCTCTTTTAGCATTTTCACTGCAACGTTTGTAAATTCTTCATTCGGTACAAGACCGGGCGCTTTTGCTTGAAATACTCTGCCGAAAGCACCCTGTCCTAAATCTCGTACATAAATGATGTTATTTCGCGGAAATTCGAGCTTCTCTAATTTAGGATTCAACTGTGCACTTGTTTTATGGTATGCATCGTTGCTTGGCAATTTGTCTAAATCAATGCTGACATACTAGAAGGATATACAACATGTTAATACTATTCTAATTACTGAAGACCAATAAGCGTAAATAATTATCTAAGACCAGACTCAGCATTATTTTTCTGGATCTTACATACTTTAATTAGGAAATATAATGTAACATTTGTATTGATTTAGCATTTTTAATATACCTGGTTCTCTGTTGGGTTATATCCTTGATGTCTCTTATGAAGTCTGTGACTTAAAATAATTGATAATAAAGTTCCTGTTATAATTACAAATCCTAACGAAGTCAATATCAGTATAAACATTGGAGTAAATAATGTATCCATTGCTAAATCCTTTGAATCTACTTCCAATACTTTACTTGTTACATTATCTGTATTCAAAATAAATAGATATAATAATTATACAATTACCTACATTGGATATTATATTACATACCGCATATAGGAATATCACAATGTTCCCATCGTTTTACAGGATCCATGGTGAAACACCATGGTGTTGGTTCTTCTCCACCTGCATTTCTACAATAATTTTCTCCATAGCGAATTTGAGGGAAGACATCTGGTGGTCTATCGTGATCATGTGGCACTTGTGCATTCCATGGCTGACAATCCAAACCAGATTTTGTTTTATTTACTTTACCCATATAAAATCTACCATTGCCTTTAATACAGTCGTCTGAAAAAAAAATTATTAAAATCTCTAATACTATCTGGTCTTGATTATTCACAATGAAACATTTAATTCATGCTTTACATGTAATAAGATCTTCCTTCATATCAGTTAAATGTATGTGAGAACAAGTGGTTTGTCCTTCAACTACTTTTGGCAGTGATTCACATTCTGGTAATGTAAAGTGTCCCCGTGATCTGATATAAATATCTCTTTGTTTGTTGTCTTCTATTATTGCCCAATCATTAAAACAGAACTGATGACGTACTGCCATACAATCTTCATAACATAATGGTAGACCGACCGAATTATTACATCGTGGAAATGCATACATACATAGCATTTTCTATAATAAACAAAATGACCTTTCTTATACTCTGCACTGTCAAATTACACTGCTCCTGGTTATATTAAAATAAAATTAATTACCTCTGCTGCTGAACGACATGGTTCAACAAGTCTCTGTATCAATTCTTCCCACAAATTAGTCGTAATACGCTCATTTAGCCAACCACCAGGATTATCATTAGAATCATTGAACCATACTTTTTCAATATCAGCTAAATACTTTTTGCAAATCTTTCCTCTATATGGTGCACAATAACCCTGTGATTCAGGTTCTGCAAATTCAAAGAATCAATAATATTTCTTGATAAATGTTTTTTCTGTGTGAATTTTGTAAAAATACATACTGGTTTGTGCAGAACTGAAATGCAAAATAATTGCTACTAGAGAAACAATCCAGAACACCATTATTTACATATAATATTTGAAAGAACGTCGAGAAAATGTATCACATGTTTAAAGGGAAATTCCTCTGCATAATAAATACGTCGACACCAGTGTTTATTTAAATAACGCTAAATCTTATCAAGTCCATGGTACAAATGAAGAATTTGTTATCATGTTGTCATTTTACGCGCTACTTTAACTTTCACGCGTTTATTGGTGTACTCAGTAAATCACTGAATGAATATTGCAATTATCGATTGTAATTTTTTAAACCGTTTTCAATGGGGGCAATACAATAATTTAACAAAAATAAACTCAGTACATTAAGCTACCGCATAGAACACATAATTTGTTGCATAAAAAGATGAATAAACAATCCGAATAGAATCTCTCCACAACATACAATATAATTAGCTATTACAGTTAATTTTCCCCTTTATTTACAACATTAGTGCAATGAATAAATAGTAAATTTTCTCCTTTTGTAACGATACGAGTAACTGCTAATTTAACAGAAATTTAGAACTAGAACAGTGTTTGCATTCGACAACATCATAATTATGTTTAATATAATAATGTTGCGCATTCCGTATTCAACTTTTAATATTATAAGTCCTCATTATAAGAGCGATATACTATAATTTTCTTTTGAAAATATAATCACAAATTTATTACTCATGAAAATACAAGAAAAGTAAATTCATTATAGTAAGTTTCGCTTACAATGTTGGTACAATTGCATTCACCATAATGCGCGGGAATGATCTACGATGCATTCAATGAGGAAAGTGTGAAATAGGAAGACAATGCAAGCTTTCTTAAAAACAGGGAAATTAGGTCCTGAAGGGTCTAAAAAACCTTCGACTTCACGCACAAAGGAAAAACGCAGTGCTCCTCCACCGCCATGGGTAGAAAAATAGTAAGATTTCACCAGTGTAACCTCAATTACTGTCTTGAATTTCTTTTACATACATATACAAACTTTTTTCATTTTTATAGTCGTCCAAAAACTGTAGAAGATGTCGTTGAACAAGCAGAAGTTGTGGAGGTGTTACGACAATGTTTAAGCGGTAGTGACTTTCCAAATTTATTATTTTATGGACCACCCGGCACTGGCAAAACAAGTACAATACTAGCAGCGGCTAGACAATTGTTTGGTAGCTTGTACAAAGACAGGATATTAGAATTAAATGCTTCTGATGAAAGGGGTATCCAAGTGGTAAGGGATAAGATTAAAACCTTTGCACAACTTACAGCAGGTGGCATGAGGGACGAGTAAGTTTCTTATAGAAATGCTAAAATATTTGTTTATTAAAAAACAATGATGCGTAGTAAAAGGTCTGAGAGTTATACCAAAGTATGCACATACAGATTGCTCTAGAAACATAGTTGTTATCAGGAGTTATGATTAAGTATTTAAATAACTCTTATTACCAACTGAAAAGCAAAGTGCTTTACAGAGACTGTCAAAGGTATTGTGAAGGTTTAAACTTTTGAGCCTGTATTAGAAGCAAACATTTTCTTTAAGCATCTTGTGTGCTACTTTCATAACTTCTGTGATAAAATGAGAATCTGAGATATATTTGTGTATAGTATATAGGAAAACAGTTTAATAGATATTTTTCTAGTAATGACAGTTTCATTTCAGTGGAAAACGATGTCCACCTTTCAAAATTATTATTTTGGACGAAGCAGATAGCATGACCGCCGCGGCACAAGCAGCTCTCCGTCGCACCATGGAGAAGGAATCTCACAGTACTCGTTTTTGTTTAATTTGTAACTATGTATCAAGAATTATAGAACCGCTCACTTCGCGTTGTACGAAATTCAGATTCAAACCACTGGGAGAAGAAAAAATTATTGAAAGATTGGAATATATATCTAACGAAGAAGGTTTAAAAGCCGGCAAGCCTGTTTTGTTAAAAATCGTCGAAGCCTCGGGTGGAGACATGAGACGAGCCATCACGTGCCTGCAGTCTATAACTAGATTAAAGGGCAAAGACATTGAAATTACCATTGATGACATTGTGGAAATTATTGGGGTAATAATTCTTAAACACTTTGTGAATAATAATTTTATTATAAAACAAGATAATTACAGATTGTTCCTGATAAGTGGATTGATGAATTAATGGAAGTATGTAAAACAAAGGATTATAGTAAGGCAGAAGCATTTATTGACACGTTTATGTTAGAAGCATATGCCGCGTCACAAGTAAATCTTTTCGATACAATTAAATTATTCATTAAAATTACATATCTTATATTTCAATAACTCTTGCAGGTAATCGAACAGCTTAGCGAGAGGATTATATATTCTAACGAGTTTACAGACAGACAAAAAGCTTTAATCGCGGATAGACTCGGAGTAAGTAGTGAACATCCTTCGCAAAGTACAAAGTAATACAATCTATTTTCTCTTATTTTAGGAGTGTAACTACAGACTGCTAGATGGAGGGAGCGAGTACATACAACTTATAAATCTTTGTTGCGGCATTATAAAGGCTTACGAATTAGAATAGACGTTTATCGCAATTAGGTATATAAGGAATTTTTTAAACTTTTTCTATCTCAATAAATATTTATTATGTTTCTACAAGCTGTGATACATATATCTTCCAAAATAAATAGTCGTAACGATGTTACAATTTCACGCTCCCTATAGACGGCTATTTTTCTAGTAATTATTTACTTTCTATAAACTAGGGATATTTGTTTTTACACCAAATTACCATAGGATACAACATTGCATTCCTCTGGTAATTTTTTTAGTTTCTACACACTCTGTAATCTATGGTAGCGCTCATGCGCTGTTATAATGACTATATCGCCGAAAGCATATACCCAGCGAGTAGAAAGTCATACGATTTTTAATTCTTATTGATCGCAGTACGTTTCACTCATACCAGATTTTTCACATTCATTTACTTTACGAATATTTTATAAAAATGAAGTACAGTTTTCTTTATTTTGTGCGATAGTATATACATTTACATCCTTACAGGTTCTCGCTGTTCGTTTATTTTCCCCCAACGTGTATATGACCACGAAAGCAAAAGCAGATTATAGGGAGGTTCCACGTTCGTGGTTAGGAATTTCCCCCTAGGCAGTCGATCTGCGCAAATTGTCAGGCAGTTAGCGCATCTCTCGTTGGACGAAGCATAGGGAAAAGTCGATTTCCGTCTTCTAAACGCACCTCGACTGCGCACTCTGTCGGCGAGTCGGCGACGAGGACGCCACGATTTGAGAGCCACTGCGATCGGCGTGTAGGGGCGTCGTTGCTGCGTGCAATGTGTATCGTGTAGGCGTTGGCGAGGAGGAGACAAGTCGGGGATGTGTCCGTAAAAAAACTTGCGGTTTCTGCGTACTCTGCCGCACGTGCACGCTCGAAATCGTGTTCCGCGAACCACGGATACCCGACAGGATTCAACTACGAGCCCGTATCGGCCGAGAGTGTCGCGCGAACGGGCCCAACAATTACGGCCAGGAAAAAAAAGTGCTCCGTATTCTTTCGTTTCTTACAAAGAGCCACGTATCGCTTGTGTATACCTCGATCTCTTGTCACGAACGCGAGAGAACTCGTTTCGTGCAAGAGAATCGTCGACTCGAGTCGAGGGAGACTCGCGGAAACGACGCTCGTATCAGGATGCCAGGACGTCTTCGAAGGGCCATTGAGACGGTCAGTGTTACTCGCGCGAGTTAATTTCAATTCCATCCGTGAGAGACGAGATACGTGCAGCCTTGAACGACGCACGAATTACTAGCTCGGGAAACAAGCAGGGAGCGAAGCGGAGGAGAGGATAACCGACGGAGAGCGTGTGTACGGGAGATGTTTGGAATCTCGAAAAGAGATCCTGCTGCGGGAGGATTCGACTATCAGCGGCTACGATCGAACGTATTATCGCACGCCGGATTCTTCGGCGTGTGAGACGGCAATCACCGGTTGCGAGGGTTTCTCCGTGTGAACGGGGCTGACCTGACCGTGTGCGTGTTTTTCCCGGCGAGGAAATCTCGCGGCGGCGGTGTCTGCTGGCATGAGATTTTATTGTCGCTCAGTCGGCACGCTTCCGTGGAACTATCAACGTACGATTTTTTGCGCGTGCTTTTTTCCCGTCTCTCGCGGACCAAACTGCTTCACTGGTGACAACGTTCCAGAAAAGTTTCTGCACCTCTGAAATCCCGAATCGCGTGCGTGTGGCGGTGGTGTAGTGGACAAGGGTGGATGACGAATTCGTGAATTCGTCGCCGGTATTAAGTCGTGCGTCAAAGCTTCTTGGAATGTGACGGGTGACTCCCGGCGTGGGAAATATTGTAGTAAAGGTAAGCGTTTTGAACATGGCAACGAGTCGATCCGCTTCTGTGAATCGACTCCGTAACGCGATACGAACTGTCACTGGAACACTCTGTTTAACGGTACTCGTTTCTAACCTGTAAACACGATAGAAATAGCGTTTGGGATTGAACTGGAGGTAAGAATACGCTGGGGATGCTGCCGCTTTAGGGACGGTGCGCCATGCATTTCTGAGGGTGTTGCGAACTCCTGCGTCTAACACTGTAAACAAAGAGTAATACCGAAAATTGTTAAATCACCGGCAAAGTTCTATTTCAATGTTTGCGTTATCTTCGACGAAGACCGCGATATTTGGAATCGTTTTTGATGCGCAATAATCGTGCGATAGCACCGTATGAATCAGCGGTCGATGACAAGTATCTACGCATTCGAAGAACAAGGTAGAACGTCGTCGATTCAAGCGTGATCGATCGATATTGATCAAATTCAATGCAACCTGTAGCGAGCACGAAACAAACTACCGGTTGTATCATTGTTTCGGTCGAACGATCAGCTTTTGAAAAATCTTCGCCCGTGACAGTAGTCTACTGTACGATTGTACGGGCACTTGTTACTCCCTACAATGCTTTTTCTCGAGAGTAGGCGCGGGCTTTGTTTTTGTTTTGAAGCGTACACCCGATGCCGCGCGTCCACACGCCTGCCAACGTAATTCAAAGTGCAGCATTCAGCGACGTGACTTATGGTCCCTTTGAGAATGTATGCCCGGGTTACACCGATGCCACCAAAGCTTGAAACCTGTACGAGAAGTCTTACTCGATTGTGTTAGGAAAGTTTGAGGAACGATAAGGTGGCACAGTCTCGCTATATGGCCCTCCGTACCATGCGTTAGCACGTGTAATATTGCTAGTACCACTGGTTAACACTGCACATCCTAGTCTTTCACGATGATGATCAATAAAATTTTAGAACCGAGATCGAATTTTTATTCTTGTAAAAAGGAATTATCGTGAAAGATGCCTTTTGGTAACGTGAGAAGCGATTTAGCCCGTTGCCCAAGCAGAGGAATGAATTTTTTATGGAAAACAGGATCACACGGCGAGACGCACGGTGATTAACGATGCAAACGGTTTCTCGTCCGCTATGATTGCATTTCCTACGATGTTAAGGTCCGGCGTAATCGAATTACGATCGAATCGTAACGATCAGGTGTTCGAACGCCATGAATTATTAAACACTTCCTAAAGAAATGCGTGAATTTCTGACGCAATTTAATGGGCAAAAGAGTAGACGGAGAGAAAGCATCGTATATTCAAGGATTAGCAGCGTATGCGGGGACTGAAACTACTTGTAGTAAGAAAACTTATAACGAGGGTTTATAAAGCGAGCTTCCCTACGAGGAGAACGCATCTTCCTCAGTCAGTTTATTATTATTATCAAGATTAACCCATTAAAGACGCGGCGAGATAATGCGATTTTTACACATGATATTCTTTGTTCAACATATATTTAAAAAAGTAAAAGTCAAGCATCATTTAACATCGAAACTAGTGTCTGGTCATTTGACCAAACCGCTCAAGTTTCTCATTATAAGGCACACATTTTGTTAAAGTACATTCCTTGAAATTGGTTTCCATCAAGGTAAAGAACTAATGTGTGTACTAATGTTTCGTTTATTTACTTTTTAAGTACACATATGTCGGTAGTTAAATTCTTGTCTCTGAACCTGTTCCGCCTGTTTTTTGTAATTAGAAAACCGTGGCACCCCGGTCATATCCGGTCAGATAAGGGCACAGTTATACCCAGGTAGTCAACAGGTACCCAACGAAAATTAATAAGTTTTCTGTTTTGTTCAAGGAAGTTAATTTGTCCCGAAGCAATCTATGATAGTTTCTTGAAAGCGTGTGGTCTAGTCAGAGGTTTCGCTGCTCCTGGATTCACTGGTCACAGTAGCAAAACAGGATAATCTTTCAACAACTATCTGCGACCAGATAGACCACAAACTTGGCAGCTGGGAGTCGCGGATAACCATAATTCCGGTATTCGATCGAGCTTGTTTCCCCTAATCATGCAACAAGTTAAACAGTTGAATAACAAAATTCTCTTCTTTGTAGCTGCGTGTCCGAAACTTTCTGAATTTGGTGTTTTAATTCGGAGCGAAAGGAAGAAAAGCTGAAGTTTCATTGAATCAGGTCTATTTAAGCGGTCCACGGCTGTGACAATACTTCGGAGTGTCCCCTCTTTCTGAATAGATCGTGGCAGATGTAACCATTGAACGTTCAGACCGAAACGATGACCGACCGTGATTGTTCCACGCGGAAATAACGTTGTCCTACTCTCGATTCTCTGTGCGAATAATCGAAGGTCAGTTATTAAATCGATCGCTCGTCGCGTTCTAGATGCCACGATAACGTCTCCGTTACGCTCTTCAGTGATGAAGGATTGTTTGGTCACTCAGGACCCTGCATCGAAAAAGATACCCTGATTAAATTTCGATTGACTGCAGACCTTGATATTGTACACCGATAGAAAACTACTTTAACCCTTTGCACAAGGTACTTCTACGAGAAGATTCACTCAAGTTCCACTCAGAGAAGATTTGGATTCACTCAAGTTTCACTCAGAGTAAATTTGGATTCT